TCGAATAAATCTGTGTCCAATAATTTTGTGTCCAATAATTTGGTGTCGAATCGATCGGTGTCGAATCGTACTGTGGTCAAACGGAACACGCCCGGAGGATAGAAGGATGGACAGATAAGAGGGAAGAAGACAGTATGTTGGTAATTGAAGGAGACTTTAACGCGAGGGTAGGGAGAGAGGGAGGAGGTTTTGAGAGAGAAGAGGGGGAGAGTAGAGAAAAGAAGGCAAAGGATGGGAAAATAAATGCGGAAGGGAGGAAATTAGTGAGATGGATAGAGAAGAACGGATGGGGTATTTTCAATAGATGCACAAAGAGGGATGAAGAGGGAGAATATACCTTCACGGGAGGGAAAGGTAATACGACAATTGATTTGGTGTTAGGGGGGGAAGAGGTAAGAGAGAGAATAGAAATTTTGAAGATAGGGGATAAGATAGATTCGGATCATCACCCGGTGGAGTTATGGGTGAGGGGGGGAGGGAGAAGAAGAGAAAGACACGGCAAAGAGAGGAAAGTATGGAGGGGGGTATGGGATGAGGAAGGGAGAGAACAATTCAGGGAAAAGATGAGGGGATTAGAGGCAAGAAATGGAAAATTGGAGGAGATTTGGAAAGGTATGGAAGAAAGTGTGAAAAAGGCGCTGAAGGAAATAGAGGTGGAAAGGGGAAAAGAGGAAGGGGGAAGGAGACAAAAAGGTTGGTGGGATGAAGAATGTAGAGAGGAAAAAAGGAAAGTGAGGAAAAAGTTGAGGGATTGGAGGAGAAGAGGATTAAACGAGGATGGATATAAAAAAAGAAAAAAGGAGTTCGCAAAGTTATTTGAAAGAAAAAAGAAAGAAGAAAGAAAAAGATGGGAGGAAAAAGTTAAGATGGCGAAAAGGGAAAATGAGGTCTGGGAAATAGTGAACAGAGAGAGAGGGGGAAGAAAAAGAGTGAACGAAGATATTGATATGGAAGAGTGGAAGGAGTACTTTATGAGATTACTGGGAGGGGTAGAGAGGAGAGTGGTGAGAGGAGCGGAAGGAAGAAGTGTAGAGAGGGATGAGGAAAAGGAGATAGGAAAGGAAGAGATAAAAAGGGCGATAAGAAAATTGAGGGAGGGGAAGACGTGTGGAATAGACGGGATACCTGGAGAGGTGTGGAAGTATGGAGGGGAAGAGATGGAGAGTTGGATAGGGAAGTTTTGCAACAGGGTATGGAAAGGAGAAAGTTGGACAGAAGAATGGAAAGAAGGGATTATAGTACCCATAGTGAAAATGGGAGAAGGACAGAAGGTAGAGGAATACAGAGGGGTAACCCTAATGTCGTCATTATACAAAATATATGTTATGATACTGGCGGAAAGACTGGAAGAGGACCTGGAAGAGAAGAGAATAATTCCACATAATCAAACGGGTTTCAGAAAAGAGATGGGAACAATAGATAATATATATACGATAAATTATCTAATAAACAGGAAGATAGCGAGGAAAGGGGGAAAGCTGGTGGCACTATTTGTGGACCTAAAGGCCGCATTTGACTTGGTGGACAGAGGCAAATTGATAGAAGCGATGAAAGAAAGAGGGATAAGAGAGGGGATAATTAAAAGAGTGGAACGGGTAATAAGGGAGACAAAGTGTAGGGTAAAAGTAGGAGGGAAGGTGGAGAGTTGTTTCTGGACGGCGAGGGAAGTGAGGCAGGGGTGTCCGCTGAGCCCTATGCTCTTTAATATCCTATTAGCGGACTTAGAGGGGGAAATGGGAAAGATAAGATGGGGAGGAGTGAGGCTAGGGGAAGAAAGGGTGTATACGCTGGCATATGCGGACGATATGGTGATGATGGCGGAGGGAGAGGAGGAAATGAGGAGCATGATAGAGAGGCTAGAGACGTACCTTGAGAAGAAGAAAGTGGAACTGAATGTGGAGAAAACAAAGGTGGTGAGATTCAGGAAAGGAGGAGGAAGAGAAAAAGAGAAGGTTTGGATGTGGAAGGGAAAGAGAATTGAGGAGGTAAAAGAGTTTAAGTACTTAGGATATGTCTTGAGAAAGAATGGGAATCAGGAAGGGCAGGTGAAGAAGAGAGAGAGGAAAGCGGCAGCGGTAATGGGACAGGTGTGGGGCATTGGGAAGAGAAGATTTGGCAAGGATTGGGGAAGGAGATTATGGTTATTCGACAGGTTGATATGGACAGTAATGGAATATGGCGTGGAGATTTGGGGCTGGAGAGAAAGAGAAGAGCTGGAGAAATTGGAAGAAAGGTATTTGAGGTGGGTGCTAGGGGTAGAGAGAAAAACACCGGGGTACTTTGTTAGAGAGGAGCTCCAAAGGGAGAAACTATGTGTAAGAGCAGGGAGAAGAGCATGGGATTACGAGAGGAGACTTGGAGAGGGAAGAGGAAGCAAAATAGCAAGGAGATGCTGGGAGGAGATAAGGGAAAGAGCGAGAAAGGGAAGAGATTTATCGGAATGGGAAAAGGAAAGAATGGAGTGCTTTGAAAGAAAAGGAATAAAGAGAGAGGAGATTGAGAAGAGCCTGAAAGAGATTGAGAAGGGAGAAATATGGAGTGGAGAGTGGGAGAAAAGAGAAAGGATTAGGCAAGAGGAAGAGAGATGGGAAAAGATAAATGATTCGAGTTACAACAGGTGGTACAAAATGGTAAAGGGAGGGGGGTGCCGGAATATCTGAAGAAGGGGTGGAAGGAGAAAAGATGGTCAAGGCTGGCGAGATTCAGGTTAGGGAATGAGGTAGGAGAAAGAAAATATTGGGAGAAGAAGGAAGAGAAATTGTGTAGATTATGTGGGGGGAAGGAAGAAACTTGGGAACACATTTGGGAAGATTGTAGGAGTTGGAGGGACGGAAGGGAGAGCTGGCAGGAAGCGGTGTGGGTGCTAGGACAGAAAGGAGAAGGGGAATGTTGGTTAAAGGAGCTGGAGAGGGAAAGAAATGGGGGGGGGTGAGGAGGGGAAGTCGGGTCACGAGCATACAGGAGGATGGAAAGAGAGTCAGGAGTTGGGAGAGGAAGAGAGAAGTGGAATGGAGGGAAGAAGGGAGGGAGTGGTTGGGAGCGCGGAGAGGAGAAATGAGAAATGGAAAAGGAGGCGAGAGGAAGCGGAAGTCTGGAGAGGGGATGTGTGTGTGTGTGGAGGGAGTGGATGAGAGGGCGAGGATACTCGGCTTCTCATTAGCTCGAAGGAGTAGGTTAGGTTAGGTTAAGAGTAAGAGTTAAGAGTAGATGTAAGTGTAGATGTAAGGGCGTAGCGGATAAGACTAGATGTAAGGGGTAGGGTTAAGGATGGAATAGTTTTAGATTTAAGTATGTAGTAAATAAAAGTGGATAT